GTTAGGACTTTTCAAATTTCTTAATGGGCTATCTAGCATTCACACCTTTTCCTTACTCTTGCCAGGTGACTTGTCTTCAGGCAATCCTACCAGTTATTCTAGAAAGACACTCTCCAGCCTGCTGTGAAAAGCTAAGGTGAGCCCAGTAGTTCCTGATGCCATTAGGACATTGCAGGTGAGGTAAGCACGCAGATCACTTTTGCAATCAAGGTGTCCCTCCATGCAGAGTGTTCATTTTCCATTTGTTTAATTTTTGAATGGGCAGTTCATTTTTAAGACTGTTTTGATAGTGACATAGTTGAGTTCTAATAATGGTATTGAAAGCCTGTGGGTAGTTTTGCCAACTTTAATTCATAGGAGATGAACTAACTACAAAAGGCATTCTTGATTCACTTCAAACAAACCTTAATCATAATAATAACAACTTTATGTTATCTAGTCCTTTACACCAAATAAAAGACAACTCTTGCAATCAGTAGTTAATTGCCAAGAAATATCTTATTTTAAAATGTGTTATTTAATTAGAAAACTAGCACATATAAATTGACAGAACAGTTCCCATGTTTGTCTATAACTAGAGCTGACAGTGTGGTGATCCATCCAACACTACATCTTGCCTGGTCCATCCTCTGCTCTGCTGGCCTCAGTGTATCTGGTGCTGCCCAGTTTGGGAGCATCATACACACTGGACCTATGTCCCCTGAACCCCAAGTTTCTTCCAGCTGCAGCCTTCTCAAGGGTTCTGGACTTTGCTTCTTTGAAGGGATGATGTCTCTCAGCTGATTTCCTTATCCCTGAGGGAATAGAAGACTTGAGAACCCTATAAATTCACTAGACCTAAAAAAATATCTATAGGACACTCTAGGATCTTGTATACAGAAAACCCTAAAGAACCTACTTAAGAATTTTAAGAATAAATGAGTTTAGCAAGACTGCAGGAGGCAAGATCGATACACAGAAATCAGTTGTGTCTCTATCCTTGCAGTGAACAATCTGCAAATTAAATGAACAATTCGACGTACAATACCATCAAAAAGAATAGAGTGCTTAGGCCCTGGCTGGTGTGGTTCAGTAGGTTGGACATCAGCCCATGAACCAAAAGGTTGCCGGTTTGATTCCCAGTCAGGGCACATGCCCCTCCCCTGTAGGGGGTGTGTTTTCTTTAGTCCCTGATTTAAGCATGTATATATATCTATACACACATCAGTGCATCATATACATGATAATTTGTATCTCCATCTCCTTAGTGCCATGAAATATCTCTACATATCACCACTATTTGTTATTTACTATCTTCTCACTATGTGCTGGGCATTGTTAACCCTTTGACATTCATTCCTTCATTGTCCCCTACAAGGATGACACAAGCTGCATTTCACTGCTGCTTTGGGATGGGAGGGAAGCTGCTACGGCAGCACCCAGGGGGTAATGAAATTGGTTATCTAACAGCTAAAGCACTTCCTTGTAAGCTTACTCCAACCCTCCAGAGGAGAAACAAGTACTTCAGCCCTCCCTTCCTTCCCGGAGTCATTTATACTGTTTACACCACCTGCTTCCGATTCTAATTAGAAACTGGCTTTCTCTGTGCAATCTAAAGAAAAAGGGGAAAAGAGAATTTAAAAATACAAATGTTGAGAAAGTGGAAAGCTATTTTGTTGATTCTAGTTCTGTGAGCAAAATGCATTGAATTTTGGGAAGTTCATCCTTGGTTTGTATTTCCTTTCTAGTTATACTTTGTACTTTTTGCTCAAACACCCCCCACTCCAGTTTTTCCCCTCCTCACAATTTCCTATAATTTTGCCTTGAGGAAATGACTCACTGTGACCAGGGGAATGTATACAAGCAAGTTGAGACATACTTTTCTGGACAAAACAACCTTTAATGCATCCAGTAAGAATTGTTTCAGGAATTAACAGGGAAGTTTATAATGAAAGGAGACACCATTTGACTTAAAAAATATATATTGGTAAAGATCCTTGGTTTCCTAACAATGTGAATGTACTATGTGGCACCTGAGGCACCTGAAGGATACAGAACTAAAGATTTTCTGACTCTCTCATCATTGATGTTCCTCTCTCTGAAATCAATAAAATATATTTAAGAAAAAAAAAATTTCCACCCCGATCTGCCTTCTGAGGACTGGGAGATGCAGCAGCAGCCTTTATTTCTGTTTCTGTGATGTTTGGGTGACTAGAGCGAAGAGAGGGTGCTGGTACCACTCCTGTCACCTTCACCCTGCAGCACAGTCATCTGTGACCTCTTTCCTGAACATCTAAGCTTTAGGCAAAGTGGATAAAGCACGTATCCAAGAAACTCTTCCTCTGCATTTTGTTCTGAGTAAATCAGTCCCATATTTACAGAACAAAGATGAAATAGATTTGTATGATTATATTTCATTGAAATTTGGAATAGTTTTGGAGCTGGAAGGAATTTTTTTAATATATCTTTATTGATTTTAGAGGGAGGAAGAGAGAGGGAGAGAAACATCGATGAGAGAGTCATTGATCAGCTGCCTCCTGCACCCTCCCTACTGGGAATCGAGCCCACAACCCAGGCATGTATCCTGACCGGGAATCCAACTGGGATCTCCTGGATCATAGGTCGATACTCAACTGCTGAGCCACCCAACCAGGGTTGAAGGAATTTTGGAGAGAACCAGTATTCTTCCCTGGCAGGGAAAAAAAAAAATTGGTCACTAATCTTGTATTGATTGGCATCATGTAGTAAAGTGACTAGACCTGTTTGTGGCCTCAGACCACAGCTAGGACTGCCTCCTACATAAGATGACAGGTTCTAGAAGCCTTCACAGTGCTTTCTACCTATTTGCCTAGGCTGAATCCATTGCCTCCTCCAAGCCCAGACTTTCCCTGATTTTAAGTTCTGTATGTCATTCTTAACATGAGGGATTTTGGCATTGACTACTTCTAGTGGATGTATGGAAGTTAGAATTGATGTAATATAGTTTCATAGCTCCCAGCTATTCCAGAATATAGTGTGGTATAGCAGGACGTACAGAAGCTTTGGAGGCAGGTAGTTCTGGGTTCAAGTCTCCTTTAGGCATTTCCTCGTGTAGCATCATGGATGTGTTGCCTAACCTGAGTTTAACTGCCCTGCATAGAGAAACACCTGCTTCCTAAGGCAGCTGTGAGAACTCAGATAACATGTGAAACACACATTCGACTTGCCCAAGAGGTGGGGAGTCACATGGCCCCTATTCCAAGTGAAGCTCTGTAACTTTTGGCACATGAAATACAAAGAAAACAAGCAGCGCTGGTAACAACACATTTATTTCGTACCCTGTTGTGCAACTGGGGGGTGGTTTTCACTCTCCAGTAATTGAATTAGGTTATAAACAATGAAAACTCCAGAAGGTAAACTGGCAATTTATTGTTGCTCATGAGCATAAGTAAACAGACATGGTACCACATAAAGGAATTTTAAACACTTCTAAACTTCTGGTATAGTTTTGAATATGGACCAGTATACTTTGGCAGTGGACCTACTAGATGACCAATATGCTTCTAAATCCCATGATTCTCTTCAGACACAACAGGAAAAAGTTGGTTTTACCCTTTGATTTCAGATATTTAACAGAAATCCTCAGGAAGTTGGCAAATGCCAGCATGACTTGAGCCTATATCATACTTATCATGGTTTATACGTATATTGCTATTAAAAACAAAATCATGGTACGCAGCAGCCAACTAATTGCTAGTTTCATTTTGTAGATGACTTTAGCATTTTAAAAAAGTAATTCCCTTCAGAATGGCAGGCTCTAGAACTTTTGTTATTTTTAAGTGGTTTTAACTTACTAACCTTTTGTAGACTAGTTAATTCAGATAGATTCCTAGTCAAAGAGCTGGATAGCATATCAATGGGTTTTATATTAGAAACAGCCATTTCTAAGACTGCATTCTACAGGATGTTTCCTTTCAGAATGTCTTTTATTCCTGGATTCTAATCTTACTTACAGCATATGATACTTGTAGACGGTTTGACTAGTGTTAACGAATGGGTACTCGTGGCTAGAGCAGGATATAAGAACGTGCTGATCACCAAGTATGAGATTTTACATTAAATTAAAATTATATACTGTTGGAAATCGACAAGATTGGGAGTTCCTAGGTCCTAGAAAATACTATGGCTAAGGAAACAGAGAACTCAAAAAAGGAATCCACCTCCAAGAAACTAATTCAGTATAGTAAAATAGAATTAAGTGCCCTGTCTTAGGAAAACATTTAATAATAAGGGACATCATACATCATTTCTTTGGAGATTAAAGTGCAGGCTATGAAATGGCATAAAAAATAATGCATAAAATAGTGCAATCTTAAGGTGCCATTGTTTTTATTACACATAGCCTATATTATGCCCATTTCTCAAAAATCCAGCTGTAGTGACACCTTTTAGCTTATTTATTTAGGCATTACTTATACTTTTACCCACCTCTGGGCTACATAGAATATTTTAACATTTTAACAAGTAGAATAATAGCGCGTACATCTCGAAACTACTAAATAGAGATTAAGGCAAGCCCCTGTAAAGTTCAGTACTCCACAAAACACAGTTTACAAAAAGAAGTTGCTTCCAAAACCAGTGGCTTTAGATCTGATGGCACCCCAATAGTTTTAAAAACACGATTCCTCTGAATACACTTGCCTTTGCCCCACTATTCCCAGGCTCTGGACATCAAAAGAGGAGCTTGAAAAACAGCAGGTTCTATAACCTCATGTTCAGAAATAATCCATATTTCAGAACAGGTGAAAATCAAGCCAAGACCATGTAGGAGATGAGCTGAGGATCCTGTAGGGGGCAGTCTTCTTTTTCCCTTATATTGGATCTGTCTGTAGTGCTGTACCATAATCAGCTTCTAAGTGGGTAGGACCCATTAAAATAGAGAAGGCTCCTCTGAAAAACAGCCAAGGAGGATGACAAGAATATTTTATGAAATGTTGTTCTAGGACAACACAGTATTAACTTTACGGCATTTATATTACTGACGTATGATCCAGGGCAGGACGGTTCTCTCTTGGGAGGCTGATTTACAATTTTCCTGTAACATATGTCAGTTTTAGCTGATCAAAATAATTTGTGACTTGTTGAACCTTAAATACCATTATGCTAACCAAAAGCAAGTATAACAGCTTTCAAATTGGTCAAGGCAATACCCTACCATGTTTTAGCTAGAGTCTAAGTAAGATTTAAGACTTAAAACAAACAACAGAACTGTAGTGCTTTATTCTCCGACTGTTATGGAACATTCATGCATTAACAATCGCAACTCTTTAACCTTACGGACAGGTGATTACAAGTGTATACTGTAGAAAATTGGATTCTGAAACAAAATCTACTGTCTAATAGTGTGAAAGCTTGTTATGAAAGCCAAATACTCATGTTCACTAATGGAAGACTATAGATACATTTAGGGTATCTTGATAAAGTTTATAAAGAAACCCAGGCAACTTTAAATAATTCATCAACAACTATTAAAGACACCATCTGAGGTTATATCCCTTTGATGCATAAGGATCATACTTTGTAAACCTGTAAACATGTACTTTGTTACTTAGAAAAGTCTTCCTATTACCAGGAAAGCAGACTATTAAAGGCCATGAGTATTCCAGTAGGCCTCCTCCAAAGTTATGACAATATGGCTAAATCCTATGGTTACAAAAAATGAGATCTGCTGAGTGAGTTCCAGACAGGGACTTTTATGGATGACCTTGGCTGACAAATCTTTTTTAGAAATTGTTTATTTTAAAATTACCTTCTCAACAGACCATGAAACACTTGGATGTTACTTTATAGTTTTTCATTGAAAACATACTACATTGTAAATGGAGTTTCGAAGTTAGACATAGAATTGATCAAACTCTAAGGACAATATAAAAAATGGGTAAGAAAGGTTCATCTGGTGAGGTTAATCTGAAGGATGCAGAACCATGTTGTGTTGGACGGATAAAAAAAGGGTGACAACCTTGTGCTTTTGTTCAGCTAAGGTACTTACCAAAACCTTAGGTTTTATACAGGTACCAAACTCTCACCTGGAAAGGGACAGCTTTCTACATTACACCTAAATTTATTTTAAATAACTGAAGCCCAAGGCAACAGTTTAAAAGAACAGTCAAATAATAACATAATTTAGTACATTAAAATAAGACTAGAACAGTAATAGCTGAGTGTCTCAAAAATATACAGCTGGGGAAAATAACCACTGTACACAATTTGGAGGTTGTTAAAGTGACCACTTAGAAGGCTGAACAGTGCAAGACATGCTTTTCCAGTTACAAGCTCAACACAGGAGTGCAAACAAAATTAAAGCTTTTGTTTAAAGTTGAGGATAAGGAAAGCCTGAAATTAATATTAAAAAACTTCCCTCAGGTCATCCCCCAGAAACAAAATGATCAAAATGCTTTTTCGTAGTACAGTGTTCTTCAATGAATTTTCTTTCAATGGCATAACTGCATCCCACAGGTTGGGTCCCCCACTCACACCACTGGTAACCACACTCGATCAATGAGCGCACACAGTAGTGAGCAAGGAAAAGTACTAGTTACCAGAGGTCTGTATGGATAGAAAGAGCGTTGGGGCTTGGGGTTCTGCCTTAGCCAGTGTACCTGAACCCTACAGAGAACAGATAAAGCAATGGGCTTTAATACTCTCGTTCCTGTAAACCGGAGGACAAATGGACTCACAACCCCTCCCCGCAGAGGCCAGCTGTTGTGGTGGAAGATTTTAAGTGCTTAAACTAAGACGCTGCTCTAACAGGTGGAGAAGTGTAGAGGTTCAAGATCAATACCAGTGCAAGAGCTTTTTAAGTGAGTTGCCTAGGCAATGCATGCATCCATCCATGCAAATGTAGGACGTGGCCCCAAAGAGAACTGAAAACATGATATAACTGGATAAATCCCTCGCCAGTAGTTTATAAAAATATAGTCGATACTGTAGAGGCCCCTTCTACAGTCAATACTATGGAAGTCCGTTTCAGTTACCCATTACTTCAATACCAAAAAGCAGTTTCTACTTTTCAGACATTCCAGACAAAGGTCACTTATAACAAAAAGTCAACTTTTTTTTTTTAAACAAGATATTGTCCATTTAAAAAGTAGGTCTTTTCTTTCAAGTGAACAGGACATTTTCTGTATTAAACTTCTAGTCTGTCAAGACTGGTTTAAGATCCTTAAGTAATGTGCATATATGCAGAAACAAATAAACTTACTTTAAACATGAGCTGCACAGAAAAAAAAGTGAACTCCTCAAAACATGATAGAATAGGTCTGGTTAGTACAAATCTATTGCAAAGTAAAAAGATTCTGTGCGTCAGTTCGACCAGGAGAAGCGGGGAAAGAATGGCCCAACCATGAAAGTTCAAGTTTAAGTTGTGTTCTGAGAGCCTAGAAGCCTAAGGGACACCATGTCGCTCACAGTATCCTGACGTGCATCACTGCTCAAGCCACTAAGCCAGGTCTTCCCCTGGAGTCAGAAGCACATCCCAATTTACTTTCTGTTCCGGAGACGTTTGGATTTCCTAAGAGAGTCTATGGCTTCTGCTGCCTTTTTCCGTTTCCGGGGCGAGACTTCACTCTGCCCAGACCCTGAGGGGTTTCCTACTGCGCTCTCCATCACTTCTCGCAGTTTGCGCTCCAGCTCCGCCAGCCGTGCGTTCTGCTCCCCTATGATCTGGGTCTGCTCTAGCAGTTTCTGGTCCTGGTCTTGGAGCTGTTTCTGTTGTTCTTGCACTTTGGTGCGGAGCTCGGAAATTTCACGCCTGAGAACAGTCACGCCAGCACCGTTCGTCTTAACCTGCTGCTGGAGTTTGGTAACCTCTTGTCTTGAAGGGTTCTGCTTGGAGAACAGCTGCATTGTTGTTAGGGCTGCAGAAGGTCCTGGAACTGTGGGGAAATAGTTTAAAATGGTCAGCTAATCACTTACAATGTCTCATTACCTGTAATACTTCATTAATTAAACTTATTTTTAAATGGAATGTCCTGTCACTTCTGATCATTTCTTCTCTGCAATCTACTTGGTCTGCTGGGTTAACCAGACACCTGGTTTTAACTATAAATGGGTTTGAATTCTGAGTCTCATGTTCATGTGGCAATGTGTGGACTGCCAGCAAATGACAAAGGACATTTAATGGCATAAAGCTGGATTTGAAATATTATACAACACTTTTGCACCTAGTAACTAAATACAAGTAGTAAAATTAGAATATAATGATTTTCTACCTCATTTCACACAAGGGAACATAAACTTTCAAGTGAGACATACAGACCTATCATGTTCTTACGTTCTCTCTGTACTTAGTTACGTGCAAAGGCTCCAGCTTTAGCTAAACAAACAGGAGAAATACCATTGGAGTGGCTATACCGAGACTTTCTGACTTTCTGTGATCATGACGATCACACAGACTTTCTGACATGTGCAGGAAGGCTCTGGACTATTCTGTTTTAGGATTAATACAATGTAACATGGGCATAAAAATCACTATTTTAAACTAATAACCTACTTTTGTTTTTAAAACTTTACTTCCTGAAGATTTTCTAAAAGGAACAGATGGATCCATTCATACCCTAAACCCACCAGGCCAATTTTCTCCTTGTACATCTAATTACCAGGATCTTCTTGACTGATGCACTCTTCCTTCTCTCTGTTTATCCACCTTCCACTCATACATCACTGCTCAGGTCAGTTCTTACCTCTTGTGAAGTCTTAATCGGATCAGCCAACAATGATCTGATCTGCCTTAAGGTTCTGTCTCTGCTATTCTTTTGGCATTCAAATGGACACGCCTTTAAAATATTTCTCTTGCCTCTGATACGTGAACTTTGAGTCTGGATATGTCTTACCTTTTGAAATAGTAAGATCCTTGAGGGCAGACACCACGTATTACACTTCTTTTTAGTCTCCACTGGACACAGTACAGTGCTGTGCGCTTAACAAGTACCCAATAAATAATAGATATATTATTAATGCTGAGATGCCACAGGCTTTATTAGTAAGTGACAGAGAGGCACTCAGTTACTCCACTGAGTACTCCAGGGAGCGAGCTAACCGGAACAAAATGTTTTACTAAAGTTTTTAAAAAACATTTGCAAGGGCTGAGGATATTGAATAATTTAATCCTTCAGTAGGTAAGGGCACAAATCTCTAGGATCCAATTCACTTTTGCAAAACAGCTACCACAGAAGAAGTGACGGTGTTCACAACAGCCCCATGCCCGTTGTCTTTTAAGGTGGCAGATGGACACTCTGGGGGCTGAAATAATTAACTGGACATTTCCATGAAGAATTTTATCTGCCATATTTAATTGTTTTAGGATAATGACAATTAAGTAGTCAGAAACATAAAAAACTATACCTATATATAGCTTTACACTCAGCAATTCTACTCTAATAAATTTATTTTAAGTCAACAGTTATGGATATGTACAAAAATTCAGCCACAAGACTGTTCTTCAGAGTGTAGTTTAAATACTGAAAAACTAGAGACAAATGTGCTTAACTGTAGTGGATCAGTTACAGAGGTTATGGTCTATAATTCAATTTGTCATTAAAAATGACACAGAAAAGATCAAGATATACAATTAAACAGGGAAAAGATCAAGTTATCAAATTTATGTATGAATGTTATAAACTGAACACAGTAAAAACAAGAGATACCTGGAGGTGAGCCCATGAGTCTTCCAGACACATCTGATCCTGGTAATTTCCTCTTTAGAATTGGAACAATCTTTTCATCAAAGTACTCCATTGCCATGGAGGAAATATCCCTTAACTCTTGGAGTACTTCATGAGCACGCTGAGGGGCTCTGGTAGAATTGACATATCTCAACACACGATAAATCTCATCAATAACCTAAAATAATAAGTTCTCATTAGCACTTGCATTTTTTCCCCCCGAAGAAAACAGCTAAATAGGGAGAAAAGCGACTGCTTGTTTTGCAATTACTGTGAAGACCTAACATGGCAGTTCCCTCTATTATGCTCATGGCAACTGGCACAGTAATCAGTGACATGCTATGAACACGATTTAAATCTTTGGACTGTGCTGGGTGAGCGAGAATTTCTATCTTGTTTACTCTACTGTTTAGCAAACAAACCTAATAGAATATTGAACCTCAAACAGGGTGGGGCAAAAGTAGGTTTACAGTTGTTGGTATGGAAAATAATTAACAAAGAACACAAGAATAATGGAAAATAATACAATAATTAAAAAATAATACAGGAATAAACTTTCACGTACTCACAACTGTAAACCTATGTTCGCCTACCCTGTGCATCCTGTCTTTCCTCATCTTCCATCTCTGTTCTTGTCTTCTCCTTGAGATTTCCTTAACGTTCCTTTCTACTCCTCTCATTTAAAATTTTTTCGTCCACATTTAAAAAATTTAAGTGCACTAAAAATTTCTTTTATGGCATATGTTTGACTATATTTTTCTTATTTCTCTTAGAATATTAATGACGGTTTCTTTTTAAAGTTTTGTGTCCTTACATGGTTTTCTCAAAGGTGTTTCCCCCATTTGTTTTACTCTGTGTTTCATATTAGTACAATGATTCTCTATTCTCTGCGTATATTTAAGTATGGAGCCCATAAAAGGTTATTAGGACTCCCTAGTTAGCCACGATGGCTGTCAGGTTGGTGGGAGGGGAGAAGGAGGGGCCTAAAAATTCAATATGAGAGTAGATTGATTTGATTTTTAAGAATGTCATCACATTAAAATCAATTTTAAAGGACACAAAAATACAACACTCTGGAAACATTAGATAAACTCAAATTAAAGAATATTCTTCAAAATAACTGACGTATTCTGCACAAAAATTTAGATCAAGAATCACAAAGATAGAGTAGGGAACTACTCCCCATTAAAGAGTAATCCATGCATGACCCTGGATTGGGTTCTGGACTGAGAAAAAGAATAGCTGCTAGGAAGAATATTATTGGGATACATGATGAAATCTGAATTCGGACTGTCAAACAAAACAAAACCCAGCTTGTCCCTCCTACTCTGCCTCCCCAATTATAACAATCTTGAAGGCACGGACAATACCTAACTTGTTCACTGCTGCTGTATCTCTGGCATCTTAACAAAGAGTAAAAGCTCAAAAATTTCTTCTTGAATAAGAACTCTTAACAAGCTTCTCTAAAAAATAGCAGGGCTCCTACTGTACATTTCCTAGTTAACATTTTAAATATAAAGAACACACGAATGACTCATAGTTCTATTAGCTACTGTACAGATGTTGAACAAATCCACTCACAGAAACTCATTCCAGAGAAGTAGGAACAAGTCTGACATTTAAAAATCACTTTGTAACTTTATAATAAACTTTACATAGTCCAATCCAGCTGTTCCAGGTAAGAATTCTATTTTACCTTTCCTGGGATGAAGCAGCAGAGATTGGAATCCACATACTTCATGAAAGTCATATTTAACAGTGAAAGCCTGGTTTCAACGGCAGCAAGGATATCTGCATGACGAGCTAATGAATGGTTTCTCCTTTCCGACTCTCTCCTATAATTAAAAAAGCAACCTTTAAAGATGTACTGTGGACTCAAATGTTAAGCAATCAAAACATCTTAATGAAACAGCCTAACATTTACATATTAATTTCAAAATCTACAATTGGATCATAATTCAACTGTAATGATAAATCAATCACAATGTCCAGAAATCGTTGTCAATTTTCTCATTGACAAAATATTTGAGGGGGGGGGGTTCGATGCTATTGTAAATGGAATTGTCGACCTAACTCCATTTTTGGATTGTTTACTGCCAGGGTATCCAATTATACAAATGATTTTTTTATATCTATCTTGTATCCTATATCCCTGTTTCACTCCTTTATTAGCTCTAATAATTAATTAGTATATTCCTTATGAATAAGGCCACATACAGACAAGATCATGTCATCTGTGAACAGAGAAAGGTATACTTCTTCCTTTCACTCTGGATGCCTTTTATTTCATTTTCTTGCCTAACTGCCCTGGCTAAAACCTTCAGTAAAATGAACAGAAATGTGAGAGGGAGCAAACTATAGTAAAAATCTCTTATTATGATCAAGGTACCCTATGCTATAAGAACTTGGAAACCATTTAACAGGTAAACTCTTATTGAGTTTAAAACAACAACAACAGAAAACACCCCAAGAAACACACAAACAAAATCCCCAATTGTAAATCACTGCCATTGCTAGCCATGACACACCTTGGGAGCTGTGCTTTGACTTGTTTCTGGCATAGATTATGGTACCTCTCCACTTTTAGAAATCCCTGATTCAACATTCTCTGGCAGACCAAGTCCATTCTTTTACAAACCTATGGGGAGAGAGGAGGAGAAAGAATTTTAAAAATAATCAAGCTAATGACAATTAGACTTATAACTCAAAGTTCTCTGTGCTAGTATTGTTCCCCAGTTTGCTGCCTGAATCCTTGAATCAGTATATGTGGGTGAATCCCTCATACTCTGTAATTCTGACAATATTGCATTACAAATTAGTATGTGTAGGCAAGGAAAATTTACTCCTTTACTTTAGGAATTTGTCGCTAGTTCTGAATATATCCCCAATATGGTCAGAAACTGTAGTCTGAAGACCAGTAAAACAATATATTCAAAAGTTTTTAATGGTTTGAAACCAGGAAAATTCTCTTAGCCAAGAATGTACAGTCAAACTCAAGTCTCACAAAGTCTGTATGATCTATGACTGGAATGAGACTTATTCATTTCTACTAGTGACTTGGGTTAACTATAGACAGTTTCTCTATTCCAGATATTAGGATATCCTCCAAAGTATCTTAACGCTATAGCAGAACCTCAGCTATTTTAAATCCTTGAGGAATATGGTGTTTATATACAGTGAGAGCACCAGATCAGATGCCAGAACACCTAAACTTAAGTCCAACCTTGATGCATTCTTGAGTAAGTCAGCTACCATTTGAAAGCTTGAGTCAGCCATTTGTAAAATGTGGATAGTATCTAACTCAGGGATATCATTAGGAGTAAATGAAACAATACATGCTAAATCACTTGGTAAACTAAAGTTTTACATAAAAATTATGTTAAATAAATTTTAACTTAGTACTAATTTGAAAACTATGCTCCATATACTTAGTTATGTTTCTAAGATATCTCAGCATCTTTCTTATCTTAACGAGACCCAGTGCATATTTAGTGTCTGTTTGTTTGTTCTTTGGTCCCTGAGAATCCTGCAGAGACACAGAGGCATCAGCCTGAACATCATGGGTGTGGACATTGAAAGTGAAAGAGAGACAAATCTGTATCAAGATCAAGTCAACTAGGCAGGGGCTGTCTTACACTTTTCTCTCTCGTAACACCCAAGCACAAATGTTTGGCAAATATTTGTTTAAAAAAAATACTGACGAAACTCTCCATACAAGTTTGAGTCCACCTGGGAATACAGGGACAAAAAGCCAAACTGGCTAAAGCCAATGAAAGCCTTATTATCTAATATTAAACAGTAGACGCTTCCTAAATCACAACGTGCCAAACGAAGGGTATTAAGGAAAACAGTGCTTTTCAATATCAAAACGAATTAAAACATAGTCCATTTTAAATACTAAGAGTAATTCTAATAAAAGGTTTTTTAAAACATGGTAAAATCTATTTCTAACTAAACAACATTTGCTCAGTGTCCACTGAAAAAATAACAAAACCAATACATACCAACAAAGCTTTCTAAGGAAAAATGATGTTTTTCTAAAACAAAATATCAGTGAGTTACATTTTCACAACTCTCTCTGATACGTGGTTTACAAGAACAGAAGTGAGTCATCCTATCTGCTTCTGCATTCAACCCAATGAGGTTTTACCTTAGAAAATTCTAAAAAACACAATACACACAGCACACGCTTCATGAGCTGTCAGTATGATGACATCATCACATCGCATAACTGCCAGAGAGCTCCACTGTGCACTTGTGAAAGAATGAGTGGAAAATGCAAATGCCACCTCTTAATACTTCAATGGAAATCTTTGCCATCTTACAGATTCCTTAAAGGGCCTTGGGAACCTCTCGGGATCCCTGGACCACACTTGAGAACCAGTGCCCAATCCAGAATAACCACATTGCCACAAACACCGGTACTGAACTTTATGTGAGGGGGGAAAAAAGAAACTTTTATTGTTAATGGAGAAAGGCAAGGAGAGTGCGCCTGTGTGTATGTGATGAGGGGAAACAAAGCAAGGACTGCAGGATTAGAGGTGATGGCACAGGGAAAGGCACCAGGTCTGGAATGAACAAACCATTAGCAAACAAACTGCTTCCGCAGAGAGATCAGATGTGTAGGCAAACCTGAGAGATAAAATCTCCCATGGTTTGCACAGGGAAATCAGAGTAATGAGAAATAACTTTTAAAAGACCACCCTTTTGAAAGATCTCATATTGGGACAGTTGATTGGTCATTTTCTATAAGCAACAGTGATATCAGGACCAAAGATATGTTCTGGAAATTTCACACTGAGACAACTGAAATCCCTGTAGGTGATTTGAAGAAGTTTAAGATAAGAAAACAAAGGCGTATCAATGGAGCCTCGACTGACATTTATAGTTAAAACCTGGCAAACAGACCAGAAAACAGGAAGGCGCAAAGAAAAATTAAAATAGCATCAAAAAGTCAAGTTTAAAAAGATTTTAAGCATTAGTCAATATTGTAAGAGAAGAGCAGGATTTAGTGTGGGGCTCTGCCTTTCATGGATGTTCAGTCAGCACTGTCTGACCCATAGCACAAAAACAAAGACACAACAGATCGTGTGTCTTTTGTTAGGCTTCAGAAAGAAGCACAGTGACCTCTGGAAAACAGAGACACCCATTTTCCCCAAGTAGTTTAATGGTAACTGCTGACAGTGTATTCTAACTTGCAATGCAAAATTATCTCATTTAAAGTATAGCTCTGTATTTATGAGTATTTTAATAATTTCCCAAAACTAAAGGGAAAAAGATTTATTTCCCTGGTTATTAAAACAAAACAAAATTCTAGCAACTTGGCAATTTACCCAAGACAGTAAACAAAAATTCTGGAGTCTACCATACAAAGATGACTACTATGTCCAAGATTACTAGGCATTTATATATGCTATAAATACAAAAGGAACTGATGGCCTAGGTCAGTCTACAGTGAAAACATGCAGCTTGGTCCCATTACTTGCTGTTCTAGTGTGAGATCAGGTGTGGTTTCTGTTCATTACTTCAGGATTTAAAATGCTGTTTAGCCTTTTCATCACTTTCTAGCTTAACTGGTCAGTAATAAAATATTTGCTTCACTTGTGTTTAGCAATCTTTTTCGATTTGTGTGTCACCATGGCCCTTTTTAACAGTGCAAGACCCATATTCCACAATTTTCCTAGTAAACCTAACCTTAATATAAAATCTTAGTTGACTCTAAGATGTACTTTTTTTCATATTTTAACATTTCACGTTGGAACAGTCTCACAATATATGCTGTCTTACGATTATAACTGGCAGCATTTCTTTTTCAGATGTCTTAGATGCCTTGAAATACAGCCTGGGGCAAAAGTAGGTTTACAGTGAAACATAGTTTATTCTTGTATTATTATTTATTATTGTATCATTTTCCCTTCAACTAACTGTAAACCTACTTTTGTCCCACCCTGTATTATAGTATACTGACTTCGATGCTTCTCTCTCTCCCCTCCTCCTTTCTTCCTTCCACTCTATCTGAAAGCAATGGAAAAATATCCTCAGGTGAGGATTAAAAAAAAAAAAATCCAGGTCTTCTAATTAGTGTCTGTTTAAATTTAGTGATCTGCAGCTATATAGAGTGAAATAATTATCTTCAACTGATCAGTGTCAACGAATCCTCTGCTGCTACAGAAACAATTGGCTCCAGTCCACAAGGATTCCTTGAGGCAATATGGGATTTTTAAGGACATTAATGGGGTCCTCACCAACTGCCAAGATGAGCAAGGTCTAGCAAGATGGAGCTAGACCAAGATCTTCCAATAATTCTTTCAAAGTTCAAAAACCAAAAGTGAATCATGGGGAAACAATTCAAGACCCTTACCACCTGCCCCCTCAGAAAAGCTATAAAGGACATTTGGGGGGCAGTCACTCAGCTTCTTAAAATGGTCTTGTAAAATATTAAAGACTTTCTGGTTGAACTAAAAACTTTACATTTAAAGAAATTTTCTGATATCCTCTGTTGGAGTTAAATGTTAAGCAACTGATTTTTCAGCACTATTATAATTTATACAGAAAACACTTTTATTTTACAATGACATACATTTCCTATTGTTTACTCAGAGCAATGAAATGTTTTAAGAACGATTTCATTTACTCAACAAAAATAAGCACTTACACTGTGTCACAGACTATCTAAGGACATCAGGATTCATGATGAAAGGATATGTGGAGCTTACATTTAGTGGGAAACAGACCCTTCCAAAAATCATCCCACTTTGTGTGCGCAATAATGATGACCTGGAAACTTAGAAATATGGCCTGAGTAAAGTTCAGAAGAAACACAGAGTCTCTACTGAGGTCCTAACACTTGAAGGTACATTTTCTAGGAGAGGAGAAACAAAGGAGAGGCTGTAGGCAGAAGCAAAAGCATGTGCTCAGACAGACCTAGGATGTTCAGGAAATGAAACAGCTTGTTTGTTTCAATCACTCTTAAGTGCAAGATGCTAGAAGTAGGTGATTGGGAAAAACCTCTATCAAAGGTTATCTTTTGCTCCTAGTCTCAAAAATCATGGAATTGGCTTTATATGCACAGCCATCTTTTTAAGACAGTACCTTCCTTCTTCAACACTGTGAGAATCCATGGCTCTCAGTTTACCAGAATATACAGGTATATCTGGTCTTCTTTATGAAATAGCGATGATGCTAAGAGATAGATAGAAGTTGTTGTTTTAACATCCCTACTTGCTTCCCCCACCACAAGCTGTCAACCCTGGAGGCTCTCGAAAACAGTTTCTTAAATTTGACAAGTCTGTGAAATAAAAAAGGTAGAAAGTAGGGGGGAGTCTGATCACTAGTCTAGGACATTAAAACTTTACACATCCAAAATAAATCTGTTTGTTTAATCTCTCTAAGTCACCCTTCTGTAATTACTGCATTACACTATACATCATTTTGTTTTTCCTGAGAGGAGTGTTCTTCCACCTTTACTCACTGGATAAAAACTCATTATCTTGAGGAAGCGTCTCCTGATTAAACCCTCCTATTTACTGTGCTTGGCCGTGTTACCTGAGGCTTTGTAAGTGTGCGCAGGAACAGTTTCAATGAAGATACTGGACAGGGTTAATGATTGAACCCCTTTACTCTGAGACTAGAACCTGCAAGAAGAATGAATTATCCCCCAAATATTACAACTTCTTACCTGCACTTAAGTATCTGTTAATAAAATCATAACCTGATGAGATGAAGAAAAAACGAAAAGCAGCAATAAAGAGAGTATATTCTCTATAACTCAGCAATAGAGAGCAGTGGTTCTCAAAGTGTGGTCTAGGGATCCCTGGGGTTCCCGAGACCTTTCATGGGTTTGCAAGCAAACTATTTGCATTAATACTAAGATATTATTTGCCGCTTTCACTCTCAACTCTCTCACAACATAGTGTTTTCCAGAGGCAACATGACATCTGGTGACATTGTTATGACAGCTAATATACTGTGTATTCTTGTGCTTTCTAGAATTTTCCAAGGTAAGCTCTTAGGGTCCTCAGGAACTTTTAAGAGTGTACAGGTGTCTCAAGACAAAAAAGTTGAGACCTACTGGCACAGAGCAAGAGATATGAGGAAGACAGCTTGCCTAAAAAAAAAAAAAAGTTTTCTTATATTCCTTCAAATTTCCTACCAATCAACCCTCTCCATAATGGAAATTTTCTAACAGTGGAAAAAAAGATAGGAGAGGAATTATAAATGGGTAACAGACTTAACTAGCTAGAGCACTCTGGAGAAATATCTTGGGACAAAAGCGTATTTATGTGTTGTGTTACCCGCTGGAAAGTTTCATTCCAGACAATAAGCAAGACTTCAGAATCTAACCTTCAGGCAAACCTATGTCCTAAAACACGAACAGGATTCCACTTACAGGCGGCGCACTACTTGACCCACACAGAAAAAATATCTGATAGGATCTCCCTAAAACACCTCTCAAACAGCCTTCCACACTCATCTTTCAGTGGTGAGAACACTGCTCCCGAGTCAGTCAATGTTATACTTTCACAGTTAGCTTGAAGCCGCTCCCTGACTAGAAGTAGGACCTCACTTCTTAACCTTTGCCTCTTGTTTCAAAAACTCTCACACCTGTCAAGAGGGCCCAGGTGACAGTCTAATGCTGCATCAGCAAAAATTTGTCTGATTTAATGGAAAAACAACTCAAAGTACAGGTTCTGTCATTACAAAGGTTGCATTCAGCCAAATAATTTTTAAATACATTAAATACTTCAATTTAAATACTTAAAACCCCATGTAACCAGGATTTCCAAGCTCTGGGTACATTTTTTGGAGCAAGTTGATGGCAGAAAAACAAAGGATTTAATAAGGCATTTGGACAGTCTCTTGGAAGTGGACTGGAGAGTCAAATTTCAATTATTCATGGCAAAGGGAGGCAAGTAACTGGAAAATATGACTTTAGCAATTTCAATGTAGAGCAAATCTTTTAAAGAAAATGCATAGTAGTAAGTGTACCTGTTCTCTAATTTGGGTGCTAACATAATTATGATCGAGGCCCTAGTAAGGCAAGTAAACTGGGAAAGAAGAAGCACAAACACACACCTAAACCATACACAAACTAGCTCATCAGCCACTGAGTAGTTACATCACTTTCTTCCAAGCATATCTACCCTTAATTCCCCTAAAAAAAAAAAGGAACTATGTAATTTATATGCTTCACAGCAGCATACGTACTAAAGTTCCTTATTTTTTGGCAAATAATTATTAAGATACAAATGGCCACTTAAATAGAAAAGGCATGTAAAGCACCTACCAGGCACTGTCTCTAGACCGCCAATTTCATATAAAGCACATAATTAAATTAATGCTGACATCTAGTGGAGAGAAGGAATATCTTTCTTTTCTAATGCTAACCTGAATTGTACCCTGACACCAAACCAAAAAATCTAAAACCAAAGCTACCTCCAACCCCCACGAAAGATTACTCATTTAATCTAAGAATTATCCATTAATCTCAAGTAAAAAAAGGAACGTTTCCTTTTGCTAAAGCAGAGGGGAAAAAAAAATCTCTGAGATGTAAAACTGGCTGCATCATTTTTGGGGGGAGGAGGCTCAGGGGACTGGTAAGAGCTCCTTGTGAAAAATCTTTGAAACTACAAATTTGTTTCCTTAAATGGCTAGAATAGATAATTGCTTAAAAATTAAGAATGCAGCTGAATATTTCACTTGGAAGAAATGTCACTTAATAAATTGTGGGGTGTGTTTTGACTATTCCCTAGGATGAGGCTAGTTCCTCCCCCTCCTTTAGAAATGTTTTTAATCTTCAAAAAAATAAAACTACTCCCCGCCCCCATTTTCCTCAACACTTACATAAAACAGAACTGTGACCATTCCAAGCTTTGCAAAGCTATTGTCTGGCTGAAAGGCTCAATTCAATCAAATGTTAGGCCTAATTTCCAGACACCATGACTATAGAGCATGACTCCAATTAAACACCATTTTTTATACAAATTTGAAGGAATATTTAAGATTCTACATCAAGTTCTAAGGATGACATGTTTTGAAAATTCACAGACAGTCCATTTTTAAATACACTTTTCAACTGGAGAATTTTCCATCCTGCAGACTGGAATGAACTGCTGTGTTGACTAGAAAAATAAAATTAGTCATCAGCTTGAATTAATATTAATAAGCTTTCTTTAAAAAACAAGCGTGATTTCATTTCAAAATATGCAATTACAATCGATTTCAAACTGGGGGTTTAGACCTAAAATACGGCATATTGATTAGGAAGAAAATGCTACACACAGCACATTCAGAAATATGTCTTTGTCTTAAAAACAAGCCCGACCAGATTAAGCATCTAGACAGAATCGGTTTGCAATCACTTCAAAATGTCCACCTCCTTAATTTCCTCACCACTTAAAGATAAATCCACCAAAAGAAAGCAAAATATGCCTGAACTAAGACATTCACCAAACCTCCCCAGACCTTCAGCCAAACCTCTGGAGGGGAATAAAACCCCAATGGCCAGGTCATCCTTTTCCGAATCACTGGCTGGACGACCCCTGTGGTTTTAAGGTATGAAAGCTCCCCTAAAAGCGGGCGGGTCCGGGGTACACCCCTAGTTAGAAAAGGAGCCGCGAGGGAGAAAAACGCGGGTCAAGGGGCGAGTCGGCGCACTCGGGCGGGCAGCGGCCTGGACTCCTCC